CTGGGCATGGTATCAGGCACCTGTAATTCCAGCTACTTGGGAGGCTAAGGCAGGAGAATCCCTTGAACAACCCGGGAAGCAGAGGTTGCAGTGAGCTGAGAGCACGCCATTGCACTTCAGCCTGGGCAACAAGCTCAACAATTCTGTCTAAAAAAAAAAAAAAAAAGTTTTACTAACTTTACACTAGCCTTTTAGAAAATATTTTTTGTATATATTTTTCTCAATTATGTAATTTGGTTTTTTTTGAGACAGGGTTTCACTCCTGTCGCCTAGCCTGGAGTGCAATGGCGCTATCTCAACTCACTGCAACATCTGCCTCCCTGGCTCAAACAATTCTCTTGCCTCGGCCTCCTGAGTAGCTGGGACTACAGGTGTGTGCCACCACACTTGACTAATTTTTGTATTTTTTGTAGAGACAAGTTCTCAGCATGTTGCCCAGGCGGGTCTCAAACTCCTGAATTCAAATGATCAGCTGTCATCAGCCTCCCAAAGTGCTGTATTACAGGCATGAGCCACAGTGCCCAGTCTCAGTCACATAATTTCTGACAAATATGGAAGTCATTGAACTAGTTTTACTTTAAAAAGCATCATCAGGGCTGAGCGTGGTGGCTCACACCTGTAATCCCAGCACTTTGGGAGGTGAGGCGGGCAGATCATTTGAGGCCAGGAGTTCAAGACCAGCCTGGCCAAAATGGTGAAACCCGGTCTCTACTGAAAATACAAAAATTAGCTGGGTGTGGTGGCGGGTGCCTGTGATCCCATCTATTCTGGAGACTGAGACAGGAGAATGACTTGAGTCCAGAAGGTGGAGGTTGCAGTGAATAGAGATCATGCCACAGCATTGCGGCTCAGGAGACAGAGTGAGACAACATCCTAAATAAATAAATAAATAAGCCAAGCATGGTGGCGGGTGCCTGTAGTCGCAGTTACTTGGGAGGCTGAGGCAGGAGAATTGCTTGAAGCCAGGAGGCAGAGGTTGCAGTGAGCTGAGATCATGCCATTGCACTCCAGCCTGGGCAACAAGAGCGAAACTCAGTCTCAAACAAACAAACAAAAAAACAAACAAACAAACAAAAAAAGCATAATCAGTAAAGGTAAACCTGTAAGGGAAAAATGGATTTGACAATATAAGAATTAAAATTTTGATTAGCTGAGCATGGTGGCATGTGCCCATAGTCCCAGCTACTGAGGAGGCTGAGAGAGGAGGGTTGCTTGAGCCTAGGAAGTTGAGGCTGCAGTGAGCCATAATCACCATTGCACTCCAGCCAGGGCAACAGAGACCCTGTCTCAAGAAAAAAAGAATTAAAATTTTGATACGGTAAGAAAACATAAACCATATTAAAAGATAGAAATAGATAGAAAAATATATGCAATGCACAGTATTTGAAAAACGGATATATTATCTTTAAAGATGTTTTTTACAACTCAGTAATTAATCCTACAGTTGTAAAATCAGCAAGGAACATGAACAGCAAAGACATAATTTTCTAATAAATGTGAAAAAGGTTCAACTTTACTAAAAATAAAAGTTTCAACTTAAAACAAGATGATTTTTTTTTCCTAGCACTTAAATTTTTTTTTTTAAAGACCTATGTGGCAACAATTTGGAAAATGGACATTCTTCTAACTGCTGGTGGAATTGTATATTGGTATGTTTTTCTGGAGGACAATTTGATTATATTTTTTTAAAATGTACATTTAAAAAAATTCCATTTTAGCAATGTTTTTCTGGGAATATACTTAGAGAAATAAATAGGGATGTGATTAATATTTGGCTGTAAGTATGCTCATCTTAGTGTTTTTTAGTAGTAAAAAATTACAAGCAATAAAAATACCCCACAATTGCATATTCATTTTAAAAAGAAGCCGGGCATGGTGGCTCACCCCTGTAATCCCAGCACTTTGGGAGGCCGAGGCGGGCGGATCATCTGAGGTCAGGAGTTCAAGACAAGTCCTGCCAACCTGATGAAACCCTGTCTCTACTAAAAATACAAAAATTAACTGGGTGTGGTGGCGGGCACCTGTAATCCCAGCTACTCTGGAGGCTGAAGCATGAGACTCACTTGAATCCAGGAAACGGAGTTTGGAGTGAGCCAAGATCCTGCCACTGCACTCCAGCCTGGGGGACAGAGCAAGACTCGTCTCAAAAAAATTTTAAAAAAATAAAAAGAATTAGGTTTAAAACCTATAAATTAAGCTAAACATCAAGAAAGTGATTATTTTTGTGATGGATTTTTTTTTCATTAAAAGTATTTTCAATAGAAATGTTTTTTGTTATTGTTCTTTTTAAAATAAGAGATGGGGTTTTGTCGTGTTGCCCAGGTTGATCTTGAACTCCTGAGCTCAAGTGATCTGCCCATCTCGGCCTCCCAAAGTGTTGGGATTATAGGCATGAGCTACCACCACACCTGGCCAGGAAATGTATTTTTATAATTAAAAAATAGTTACTGGAAATCACCATAGAATAAATCCATAATGTGTCCCCTACTCATCTCTACTTTCCCACACACAGCACTCCTAACTGCTGCTTCTCAAGAGGACACCATCCCCTTACATGCCACCTTTGCTTACTCTTTGACCACTTAGAGTGTTCCTGCTCATCTTTTAGTCAATTCAAATGATACCATCATGAAGTCTTTCCCAGCCACCCTCCACACAATTACTTTGTGTAATTATGTAGTTAAAATGTCTTTTCTGCTGGGCAGTGAACTCCTCTTTCATTTATTTTATATATTATTTTATAATTATTTGTTGAATGCATATGTGTCTGGCATCATGTGTATTATATATTGCAGATCTAACCATGAGCCTAGGCAGATAGGTTCTTTCTGCCTTCAAGGAGTTTATAGCCTTGTAAAGTTGTTCCTTACAGTATAATATTGAGTATTACAATAGAAGCTCCCAGAATGCTTTGGGAACTCAGAGAATTGGTAGGTCTAACAGGCTGGTTAAACAGGGAAGGATTCCTGGAGGGGATAACAGCTGAATACCGTTATACACCACATAACAACATTTAAGTGAGTGACGCCATATACAACAGTGGTTCCAGAAGATTATAATGTTTCAGTGAGTGGTGCCACATACAACAGTGGTTCCAGAAGATTATAATGGAGGTGAAAAGTTTCTATTGCTTAATACTTACTATGTTATACTTTTTATTGTTATTTTAGAATGTACTACTCCTTTTTTAAAAAAAAAAAAAAAGTAAACTGTAAAACAGCCTCAGGTAGGTTCTTCAGGAGGTATTCCAGAAGAAGCCATTGTTACCAGGAGATGTGTGTTATTGCCTCTGGAGGCCTTCCAGTGAGGCAAGATGTGGAGGTGGAAGACAGTGATATTGATGATTTTGACCCTGTGTAGGATTAGGCTAATGTGTGTCTTTGTTTCTAACAAAAAAGTTTAAAAAGTAAACATTTTAATATAAAAAAGTTTATAAAATAAGGATATAAAGAAAAAATATTTTTGTACAGTTGTACAATGTGTTTGTGTTTAAGCTGTTATTACAAAAGAATGAAAAGTTTAAAAAATTAAAAATTCATGAAGTAAAAAAAGCTATAGTAATCTAATGTTAATTTATTACTGAAGAAAAAATTTTAAATTAATTTAGTGTAACCTAAGGGTACAGTGTTTATAATGTCTACAATAACAGACAGTAATGCCCTAGGCCTTCACACTGACTCAATCCTCACTCACTGACTCACCCAGAGCAACTCTCACTCCTGCAAGCTCCATTCAAGGTAAGTGCCTTTTACAGATGTAACATTTTAAATATTTTATACAGTACTTTCACTGTATTTTTTCTATCTTTTGATATACAAATACTTACAATTGTGTTACAGTTGTCTACAGTATTTAGTACAGTAACATGCTGTGCACATTTGTAGCTTATGAATGATAGGCTATATACCATATAACCTCAGTGTGTTGTAGGCTGTATGATCTAGGTTTGTGTAAGTACATTCTATGATGTTCACACAACAACAAAATCACCTAATGACACATTTCTCAGAATGTATTCCATCATTAAGCCACACATGACTGTATTAAAAAGCAAGCAAGAATTAGCCAGATCAATGGACAGGGGGAAGGTTGTTTCAGGTAACAGAAAGAACCTGTGTAAAGGCCTGGCATTTGAAAACCATGATCAATTTCAGGAAGATCATTACGGTATTTGTGGATATTGAGGTTGATTTCTGACAATTATTTGTAAATTTATCTTGGAAGAAGTGCCAGAATTCATTTCTTCTGTAAGAGATTAGGATAACAGCATGCATTAAAGAAAGCATTCTAATGTTAAACGAAAATTCAGTATAAATAGTTTATTTTTTAAGTATTTGTATTAAATATATTGTCACTAAGGATTGAGAAGTTAGTGTAAAATAATAAAAAGTCTGAATTATAGAGTATTTTAAGTCTATTTCTTAATCTTGATTGGTCCTAAAAAATGTTGCTAAGAGATTATTTGGGAAATAACCTTGAGTTAAAAGATTTAAAATAATGGCAATTCTTTTAGCAATTTTTGTATGTAAATGTGTTCTAAATAGAAAAAGATGTTCCTTGTAGCAGAGCAAATATTTCTCATGATTTTGATGATGTGTATGGTGTCCCTCTCAACAATCAAGTCTTCAAAACTTCCTCTATCTCCTATTAAATTCTCTCTCATCATTTTTGTTTCCTATACAGATTCTCAAGTTCTTTTTTTCCCTTCTATCACTTCACTGTTTTCCAAACACTTACCCCTATTTCCAATTCCAAATAAAAATCGGTAATTTAAAGCAAATGGATCCAATTGCAATGTGACTGTGATTAAAGCATAGTATCCTGGCTCTGTGATCATGTGAAGTATACTTATAGTATATCAGGGTCACTGGGTTTATATAGTGAGTGTGTAGTCCTTTTTCTTTATTTCTTGACTAGGTAATATAGTGACTGTTTCTTAAATCAAGTTTCCTTCAAAAAGAGATTAAATGAACCAGGGTTTTGTTTTTCTGCTTTTATAGATTTCTTGATAACCGGCTGTTTGCTACCTGCTCTGATGACACTACAATAGCACTATGGGATCTCAGAAAATTGAACACCAAAGTATGCACTTTACATGGTCACACTAGCTGGGTGAAGAACATCGAATATGATACTAATACAAGACTCTTAGTAACATCAGGATTTGATGGAAATGTCATTATTTGGGACACTAACAGGTTTGTGAATAGGAGATCATGTTAGGATTATGAACAAAAACTTTTTTTAAAGATGGTGAACAAATTCAGTGTTCTGTCCTAGCCTCAAGAAAGAAACTGGCTTTAGGAAAAACAATCAAAAAGTGATGATATCTTTTGTTACTTGTACCTAGTCATATATTGTAACTAAAAACTTTGGAGAAAATTATCTAGGAAGGAGTCCAACTAGTAGAGTTAATGATGAAAACTGGCTTATAGAGTTTCCTGAATTTAAGGAAAAAATATTTTTGTTATTTCTCCTGTGAAACTAAACTATTTCTCATTTTTTGTTCCCCCAATTCTACATACATTTATTTTGTAATATTTGTTCTTTGTTTTCATGCATTGAGAGAGTAGATTTCATTTGGAGTGGTACTGATCTTAAAGGGAATGTTTGGAAATAAAGCCTGGGGCAGTGTTGGTTGTCACTATGGGAGAAGAGAGATAACTACTAGCATTTAGTCAGCAAAGACCAGAGTTCCTAAACATCCTGCAGTACACAGGTCAGTGTGCACAGTGGACTAATTGTCCCACCTAAAATGCCAGTTGTGCCTCTGTTGTGAAACATTCCAGTAAAATGTCTCCTTATAAAGAAATTGACATTTAAAGAGTTGAGGTTTGAAAAATAATTAAAATATGCCTGCTTTGCTAGCCATGGTGAAATGATAATGTAGTAAACACACCATGATCATTCATGCCCCCCTGATTTTTTATTTTTTGTAGAGAGGGGGTCTCGCTATGCTGCCCAGGCTGGTCTTAAACTCCTGGGCTCAAGTGATCCTCCTGCCTCAGCCTCCCAAAGTACAGGGATTATGGGCAGGAGCCATTGTGTGTGGCCATCATTTCTGAAATATTATTTTTAAAAGTCATATGTAAAAAGACAGGGGCTATTCTTAGAGATTTCTAGCTATCCATACTCTTTGAGTGGAAGACAAAATTATTGGTTGTCTTTAGACAAAGACAAGCATACCTACTAAATGAATTTGTTTACTAAAATTTAGAAATAAAATTTGAATAGAAATATAAATGATAACTTCCAAATTAGTAGAGGGTAAAAAACTAATAAAACATGATTAATCAAGCAGAGAAGGGAAGGAAAAAAAGAGAATTATTCAAAAGAATGGGTAAATTGGGAAGCACAAAACTAGTCATATACTGCAACTAAAAATGTTGGAGAAAATTATATAAGAAGGAGAGCAAGTCATATAGTTAATGATGAAAACTGGCTTATAAAATGAGTTTCCTGAACTTCATGAAAAATATTTTTTGTTATTTCACAAAGCATAAAACTGTTAGGCAGATGACCTAAGCTTCAATCCAAATATTAATAATTGTGAGAAACATATATGGACTAAACTGTCCAGTTAAAAATAGTGTTAAATTAGATTAAAAATAAAACAACTATATTTTCTTTGTAAGGGACACAGATAAAGCATACAAACCCGGGAAAGTTGAAAGTAAAAGGATGAGAAAAAAAACATAATTATTCATCAAAGGCAAAACAGTTGTAGCTACATTAATAGCAGATAAAATAAACTTTAAGGCAAAAAGCATTATTATTGATAAAAAGGTTCTCTAATAAAAGATTCATTTCATAAAATATAAAAGAATTATCAGCTTATATGCACCTAAAAACAGTATAAAACTATAAAAAGCAAAAGTATTAAGCTAATATAAATGCTAAGGAAAAAAAAAAGTAGACAGAATTACAAGAAAGAAGTGAGAAATCCCCATCTCAGTGGAAAATATTAACAGCCTTCTCTCATTTACTAATAGATAAGATAGCCAAAAATGGGCCAGGCATAGTGGCTCATGCCTGTAATCCCAGCACTTTGGGAGGCCGAGGTGGGCAGATCACTTGAGGTCAGGAGACCAGCCTGGCCAACATGGTGAAAACTCCATCTCTACTAAAAATACAAAAATTAGGCCAGGCGTGACAGCTCACGCCTGTAATCCCAGCACTTTGGGAGGCTGAGGTGGGTGGATCACGAGATCAAGAGATCGGGACCATCCTGGTCAACATGGTGAAACCCCATCTCTACTAAAAAAAAAATACAAAAATTAGCTGGGCATGGTGCCACACGCCTGTAGTCTCAGCTACTCCGGAGGCTGAGGCAGAATTGCTTGAACCCGGGAGGCGGAGGTTGCAGTGAGCCAAGATAGTGCCACTGCACTCCAGCCTGGCGCCTGGTGACAGAGCACGACTCTGTCTCAAAAAAAAAAAAAAAAAAAAGAAAGGCCAATCTGTAATATGAATGTAAATACAAATATTCTAAATGCAAGGAAATTAAACCCTACAATATAGTAAATATCATGACCAAGTTGGGCTTACTCAAGGAATGAAAAGATGGTTTATCAATAGAAATTATATTAATATAATTACCCACATTAACAGATAAAATGGATAAACCTATATGATTGTTTCAAATGAGGAGTAAGATTCAACATTTAGTCATAATTAAAAACAAAAGAAAGGAGACATCATAACCAACCTTACAGAAATCAAACGGATTAATAAAGAATACTATGAGCAACTTTATGGCAACAAATTAGGCAACATAGATGAACAGATAAGATACCTAGGGAGTCATAAATTACTGAAACTGACAAGATAAATAGAAAATCTATAGATTTATAGACCTATAGCAGGTAAAGAAATTGAATTGGTAAATTTTTTTTTTTCAGATGGAGTCAGTCACTGCAACGTCTGGCTCCTGGGTTCAAGTGATCCTTCTGCCTCAGCCTACTAAGTAGCTGGGATTACAGGTGCCCTCCACCACCCCTGGCTAATTTTTGTATTTTTAGTAGAGACAGGGTTTTACCATGTTGGTCAGGCTGGTCTGAAACTCCTGACCTGAGGTGATCTGCCCACCTCTGCCTCCCAAAGTTGCTGGGTTTACAGGTTCAGTGAGCCACTGTGCCTGGCCTGAATTGGTAATTTAAAAATACTCCCACATGAAAAGCCCAGAATCAAATGGCGTCACTGAATAATTCTACCAAATATTTACATAGTAAATAATAATAATCCTTCATAAACTCTTCCAGAATATAGAGGAGACAGGATGTTTTCCAACTCAGTCTTTGAGTCTAGTATTATCCTGATACCAAACCAGACAGACACCGTAAGAATAGAAACTACACAGCCAGGCGTGTTGGCTCACATCTGTAATCCTAGCACTTTGGGAGGTGGAGGCAGGTGGTTCACTTGAGGTCAGGAGTTTGAGACCAGCCTGACCAACATGGTGAAACCCCATCTCTACTAAAAATACAAAAATTAGCCAGGTGTGGTGGGTGGCACATGCCTGTAATCTCAGCTACTTGGGAGGCTGAGGCAGGAGAATCATGTGAACCCAGGAGGTTGCAGTGAGCTGAGATCACACCATTGCACTCCAGCCTTGGGGACAAGAGCGAAATTCTGTCTCAAAAAAAAAAAAAATATTAGCAAAGCTAACAATATATGTAAAACATTTTTATGTCATCACCAAGTGGAATTTATCCCAGGAATACAGGATTGGTCTAACTAACAAAATCAGTTAATATAACACATCATACTAATAAAGATCAAAACCCACATGATCAAGACAGAAAGCACTTGACAAAAATCTCTTTGTGATAAAACTAGGCCTAAAAGAGAATGTATTCAACAGCTAAGAATCTTGCTTAACATTGAAAGACTGAATGCATTCCCCCTAAGATTGGAAGCAAGGCTCTCACCACTTTTATTTGATATTATACTGGAGGTACAACATTGCACTGGAGGTGCAATCAGGTAAGAAAAAGAAAGAAAAGACATTCAGATTGGAAAGGAAGAAGTAAAACTCTCTTCATATGCAGGAGATATGTTCCTGCATATAGAAAATAGTAAGGAACTACCAAGAAATCCACTAGACTTAAGAAACAAGTTTAGTAAATTGAAAAGATATACAAGATTAATATAAACAATCAATTGCATTTCTACTTATAAGCAATGAACAATCCAAAAATGAATGAAGAAAATAATTTCATTCACAATAGCATCAAAAAGGGTAAAATACATAGGAATAAATTTAACAAAATAAGTATGAGATTTGTACACTGAAAACTATAAAACATTGCCAAAGCGAATATAAATGTAATGTAAATAAATGGAGAGGTAGTCCATGTTCATGGATTAGAAGACTCCATATTATTAATCCATAACATGTATTGGCAAGGGTTTGGAGAAACTGGCACCATCATTGCTGAAACCCACATCGCTGGTGGGAATGTAAAATGGAATAGTCACTTTAGAAAACAATTTGGCAATTTCATAAAATGTTAAACATGGAGTTACCATATGACCCACCAATCACATTCCTAGATATCTACTCAAGAAAAATGAATGTATGTGGCCACACCAAGACTTGTAAGTGAATGTTTATAGTAGCACTCATAATAAGCAAAAAAGGGAAGCAATCCAAATATCCAGCAAGTGGTAAATAAACCAAATGTGTTATATTTATGCAACAAAATAATATTTGGCAATGAAAACGAACAAAGACTTGATACATGCTACAACATGAATGGACCTCAAAAAATTATGCTGCGTGAAAAAAGCCAACTTGCAAAAGACTACTTACTGTATGAGTCTATTTATATGAAATATCCAGAATAGGTAACTCTATAGAGACAGAAAGTTGATTAGTAGTTGCCTGGAGGTGAGAATGGGAACAGAGAATGCTTGCTAATGGGTAGGAGGAATCTTTTAAGGTGATGAAAATGATCTAAAACTGGATTGTGTTGATGATTGCACTTCTCTACAAATTTAATCAAAAATTACTTTACACCTAAAATGAGTGACTTTTTATGGCATGTAAGTTATGCCTTAATTAAATTCTTGAATCATTAACTAGAGACAGAAGGAAATGTAGGAAATGTATCAAAAGTATACACTAAAAATTACAGCACTTTTTTTTTTTTGAGACAGAGTCTTGCTCTGTCACCTAGGCTGGAGTGCAGTGTTG